AGAGACACCCACAGTGCTGTTTGGGAGGGAGTTCCAGGGTTTTAACCTAGTGACAGCGAAGGAACAACAGTATCAGGGTGGATTTTGAGTAGATTTGTAAGCTCACCATAGTCATTTCAAATTGGTGGGCAGAACCCAATTCCAATGTCCCTGCCTTGATTCTTGATGGCCCACTTTTCACTGACGTACAATAAGGGTGTTGATAGTGAGCTTGCATCCTGCTTTTCAAATCTCGTCAGATGCATTGTAGAGGTTGGCATATTCTTGCCCCCGCAGCAAATTTTTTTTAGAGTCAGTCCATCTTCTCCATGACTTGTGGTTCGTGGGCCTTCAAAGAAGTTCGTCATTTGTATGCTTTGAAAAGTAACCTGCATAAATGAAGACAGTTACAGTTGGAGGTCAGTTCCCTGAGCTCCAGGACATCTCTGCGAGATTTCCTCAGGTTCGAATCCTCAGCCCAACTGTTTTCAGCTGCTTCAGCAATGACCACGCATTCCCCACGCAGATGGCCTGAAAGCCCTCCACTTCTTCCTCTCCCGCAGGCCCAACCAGTTCCCCTCCCCCAACACCCTCACCCGATAACCGAACTCGTCCCTACCCTTAACTTCTCCTTTAACTTCCTACAGAGTAACGGGGTGGCCATGGTAATCCACATGCGCCCAAGCTATGCCTGCCTCTTTGTAGAACAGTCCCTCTTCCGTACCTACATCGCTGACTGTATCGGCGCTGCCTTGTGCTCCCACGAGGAGCTTAAACAATTCATCAACTTTAATAACACTTTCACCCCAACCTCAAGTTCACCTGGACCATTTCTGATACCTCCGTCTCCTTCCTGGACCTCTCTGTCTCCATCTCGGTGGCCACCTCGAAACCAAAATCTATTTCAAGCCCACCGACCCCCACAGCTACCTAGACTACATTTCCTCTCACCCACCATCCTGCAAGAATGTGATCCCCTACTCCCAATTCCTCTGCCTCCGCCGTATCTGCTCCCAAGATGGGGCGTTCCACTCTCGAACATCCTCTTAATTTAAGGACTGCAACTTCCCCCATTCGTGGTCGAAAATGCTCTTGACCGCATCTCTTGTGTTTCCCGCACCTCTGCCCTCACATCCCCTCCCCCCAACAAAAACAAAGACAGAATCCCCCTTGTCCTCACATATCATTCGTATCATTCTCCGCCACCTGCAATTCAACCCCACAACCAAAGATATATTTCCATCCCCACCCCTGTCTGCCTTCCATAGGGACTGCTCTCTCCGCACCTCCCTCGTCCACTCCACACTCCCCACTAGCCCCACTACCCCCGGCACCGTTCCCTGTAACCGCAGGAGGTGCTACACCTGCCCCTATACCTCCCCCTCACCTCCACCCAAGGCACCAAAAAAACCTTCCACGTCAGACAGAGGTTCACCTGCACATCCGTCAATGTGGTCTATCGCATCTGCTGCTACCAATGTGGCCTCCTCTACATCGGTGAGACCAAGCAGAGGCTCGGAGACCGCTTTGTAGAGCACCTGCGCTCTGTTCGCGACAAACAACAACACCTTCCAGTCGCGAACCACTTCAAGGCCCCCTCCCACTCCCTGGATGACATGTCCATCTTGGGCCTCCTCCAGTGTCACAATGATGCCACCTGAAAACTGGAGGAGCAGCACCTCATATTTCGTCTCGGGAGCCTACAACCCAATGGCCTAATTGTTGACTTTACCCGTTTCAAAATCTTCCTAACTCCGGCCTCATCCCTTGACCAATCGTCCCTCTCGCCCCGCCTCCTTGACCTGACACAACCTGTCCATCTTCTCTCCCACGTATCTGTCCCTCCCACCTCACTGACCAATCCCCAGCACTAGAGATTTTCTGAAGAAGGGTCTAGGCCCGAAACGTCAGCCTTCCTGCTCCTCTGATGCTGCTTGGCCTGCTGTATTCATCCAGCTCTACACCTTGTAATCCCCAGCACTGCCTACCTGCAATTACCTATCACCATCCCACCTACCTTCCCCAGCCTCACCCCTCCTCTCTCTATTTATTTCTGAGCTCCCTTCCGCCTTCACGCTTCCTTGATGTGTTCTGGTGCTTCTCTGATTTCAATTGTCTGAGCTTGGATCTTACAAGGACTTGCCCTGAAGCTGAATTGTCTCTTGTAACAGTTTGTCTTGGCTCAGGCATTTCCAGCATACATTGCTTTTTGGCCAAATTTGATGCCCTGTTTATTTCAGTTGCTGTGCCTGTAATTCTGATCTCCCTTCAGGATTTTTATTTCACTTGAACAGTCGCAGGCTGCTACAAAGTGGAGAAAAATTGGCAACTTCTAACGAAATTCAGGTGCTCAATTTTTAGCCAATGAAAGCAAGTGGTGGGGGTGCTGGTGGTAAGTGTTAGGAATATCCATTCCCAGAAATTGAGATCATTCACAACACCATGTTATTTGTGTAATAATTCAATATTTACGATAATTATCTAAGCTGTTCTTATTTACTTATTTTTGTTTCAGCACAGTATGAGAAAGACAGCATCGTGGCTGCTATAGGCTCCTCCGTTCTACTTCCTGGAATGGATAAAGGATTCAGCAGTCTCCAGTGGGATTTCTCAAAGCCTGGCAAGATCCTTCCCATTTTAGATTACAATGAAGGGCATCAAGAAACATGTAATCTGTATAAGAATAGAGTTGAACTGAACAAATCAGATGGGTCCTTGTTACTGAAAGATGTGCGTGAGGGGGATACTGGCAGATATAAAGTGACAGTGGACTTAGACCCGATTAGGACCAGAATTGTCACGCTGACAGTGTTTGGTAAGTACTTGGAGGATACTTCCATTTGCACCAAGACAGATTAAACAATAGCAGGATGACCTCAGCAGATTGAACACCTTCATAGGAGCAGGAAGGCTGACATTTCGGGCCTAGACCCTTCATCAGAAATGGGGGAGGGGAAGGGGGTTCTGAAATAAATAGGGAGAGAGTGGGAGGCGGATAGAAGATGGATAGAGGAGAAGATAGGTGGAGAGGAGACAGACAGGTCATAGAGGCGGGGATGGAGCCAGTAAAGGTGAGTGTAGGTGGGGAGGTAGGGAGGAGATACGTCAGTCCAGGGAGGACGGACAGGTCAAGGGGGCAGGATGAGGTTAGTAGGTAAGAAATGGGGGTGCGGCTTGAGGTGGGAGGAGGGGATAGGTGGGAGGAAGGGCAGGTTAGGGAGGCGGGGACGAGCTGGGCTAGTTTTGGGATGCGGTAGGGGGAGGGGAGATTTTGAAGCTTGTGAAATTCACATTGATACCATTGGGCTGCAGGGTTCCCAAGCGGAATATGAGTTGCTGTTCCTGCAACCTTCGGGTGGCATCATTGTGGCACTGCAGGAGGCCCAGGATGGACATGTCGTCTGAGGAATGGGAGGGGGAGTTGAAATGGTTCGCGACTGGGAGGTGCAGTTGTTTATTGCGATCCGAGCGTAGGTGTTCTGCAAAGCCGTCCCCAAGCCTCCGCTTGGTTTCCTGATGTAGAGGAGGCCACAACGGGTACAGCGGATGCAGTATACTACATTAGCAGATGTGCAGGTGAACATCTGATGATGTGGAAAGTCTTCTTGGGGCCTGGGATGGGGGTGAGGGAGGAGGTGTGGGGGCAGGTGTAGCACTTCCTGCGGTTGCAGGGAAAAGTGCCGGGTGTGGTGGGGCTGGAGGGGAGTGTGGAGAGTGGTCCCTCCGGAAAGCAGATAAGGTTGGGGAGGGAAAAATGTCTTTGGCAGTGGGGTCGGATTGCAGATGGCGGAAGTGTGGGAGGATAATGCGTTGGATCTGGAGGTTGGTGGGGTGGTACGTGAGGACGAGGGGGATTCTTTTTTGGTTGTTATTGTGGAGATGGGGTGTGAGGGATGAGTTGTGGGAAATGTGGGAGACACGATCAAGGGCGTTCTCAACCATTGAGTGGGGGGAAGTTGCGGTCCTTGAAAAACAAGGACATCTGAGATGTACGGGAGTGGACTGCCTCATCCTGGGAGCAGATGCAGTGGAGGCGAAGGAATTGGGAATAGGGGATGGCATTTTTTGCAGGGAGGAGGTGTATTCTAGGTAGCTGTGGCAGTCAGTGGGCTTGAAATGGATATTGGTTTCTAGGTGGTTGCCTGAGATGGAGACAGAGGTCCAGGAAGGTGAGAGAGGTGTTAGAGATGGTCCAGGTGAACTTAAGGTTAGGGTGGAAGGTGTTGGTGAAGTGGATGAACTGTTTGAGCTCCTCGTGGGAGCACGAGGTGATGCCAATTCAATCATCAATGTAACTGAGGAAGAGGTAGGGTTTAGGGCCAGTGTAGGTATGGAAGAGGGATTGTTCCACGTAACCTACAAAGAGGCAGGAATAGCTTGGGCCCATGCGGGTATCCATGGCCACCCACTTTGTCTGTAGGAAGTGGGAGGAATTGAAAGAGGAGTTGTTGAGGGTGAGGACGAGTTCGGCTAAGTGGATGATCAGTGGAGGGGGACTGGTCAGGCCTGCGGGACAGGAAGAAGCGGAGGGCCTTTAGGCCATCTGTATGGGGAATGCAGGTGTATAGGGACTGGACGTCCATGGTAAAAATGAGGTGTTGGGGACTGGGGAATCGGAAGTTCTGGAGGAGATGGAGGGCGTGGGTGGTGTCACGGACGTAGGAAGGGAGTTCCTGGACCAAGGGGGAGAAAATGGAGTCGAGACAGGTGGAGATAAGTTCGGTGGGGCAGGAGCAGGCAGAGACATTGGGTCAATCAGGGCAGTCAGGTTTGTGGATTTTGGGAAGGAGATAGAAGTGGGCGGTGCAGGGTTGAGGAATGATGAGGTTGGAGGCCGTGGGTGGGAGGTCACCTGAGGTGATGAGGTTGTGGATGGTTTGGGAGATGATGGTTTGGTGCTCGGGGGTGGGGTCGTAAAATAGGGCCGACCAGTCCCCCTCCACTGACACCCTCATCCGCTTAGCCGAACTCGTCCTCACCTTCCACAACTTCTCTTTCAATTCCTCCCACTTCCTACAGACAAAGGGGGTGGCCATGGGTACCCGCATGGGCCCAAGCTATGCCTGCCTCTTTGTAGATTACGTGGAACAATCCCTCTTCCATACCTACACTGGCCCCAAACCCCACCTCTTCCTCAGTTACATTGATGACTGTATCGGCGCCGCCTCGTGCTCCCACGAGGAGCTCGAACAGTTCATCCACTTCACCAACACCTTCCACCCCAACCTTAAGTTTACCTGGACCATCTCTAATACCTCTCTCACCTTCCTGGACCTCTCTGTCTCCATCTCGGGCAACCACCTCGAAACCGATATCCATTTCAAGCCCACCGACTCCCACAGCTACCTAGAATACACCTCCTCCCACCTACCTTCCTGCAAAAAATGCCAATTCCTTTGCCTCCACCGCATCTGCTCCCAGGATGAGGCATTCCACTAACGTACATCTCAGATGTCCTCGTTTTTCAAGGACCGCAACTTCCCCCCTCTCAGTGGTCGAGAACGCCCTTGATCGTGTCTCCCACATTTCCTGCAACTCATCCCTCACGCCCCATCCCCGCAATAACAACCAAAAAAGAATCCCCCTCATCCTCACGTACCACCCCACCAACCTCCGGATCCAACGCATCATCCTCCGACACTTCCGCCATCTGCAATCCGACCCCACCACCAAAGACATCTTTCCCTCCCCACCCTTATCTGCTTTCTGGAGGGACCACTCTCTCCGTGACTCCGTTGTCCACTCCACACTCCCCTCCAGCCCCACCACACCCGGCACTTTTCCCTGCA